TTTTTTAAACACATATTTATTAACCAGTATATTACTCCCTAATATTGATATCTGTATTGCACCCCCCAAAATCAGTCTGGCTCTTGTTCCCATTTAAAAATATGTGAATGTATCATCTAGATGCCTGACTTACTTGAACACTGTTGGTCTGATAATGTTGTCTGGCATGACAAAGCACTTCTGGAACTTGGGCTTCTCATGGTTCAGCATATTCAGATCCCTGCTAACTGTGCACACGGGAACTTTTGACTTGTTCTGTTCCGGTCTTATCTCTAAAATGTGCAGTCATGTTATCCTTTTTTTCCCTCACTTGTGTTCTTGTGGCTTCAGGGAGGAAAACAAACACGAAGAGGAGGAAATGGAGAGCGAGAAAGAGAACTCAGATGAGGAAATGGAGCCTGGAACCTCGAGACCTGAGCTGGTGCCAGTGGAAGGCAAGGTCACTGAGGCTACAGCCCCCCCTCTAACAAAAGCCCAGGTTAGGGAACTGAGGAGAGTGAAGAAACTTGACCACAGCTGGATGCATAACATTCTGGACACGTGAATGTGACCTTGGGAAAAAAAAATGTCACACACATACAGTGTCTGTACAAAGTTTTCACCACATCCATAGATTATTTTCCATTATGTGTTCACGTTTTTCTTCAATAAGTAAGACCTAATTTCATTTTAAACAAAAAAAGTCTCTGCAGGTGCAAAACAGAAATATTTGATCCAACAATTATCTGGCCCTTTGGATCAGTTTTACACATAAAAACAAAAAATCTCCACACACTTTTTCTCTGTAAAAATTGCTGAGGCACTGTTGCACAAGATATGTGTGGGATCAGCAGTTTTCTGACATGGACTCTTGAATGTTAACATTGCTGTTGATACAAAGTCTGACCTGTGTGGATTTGATGTTTTTTTTTGTTGTATTTTGTTAAATAAACCTTTGCAACAGGTTCTCCTGCAGGATTTCACCCGGACTGTTTCACTAAATCATCTACATGCCAGCTGCAATTTTCACCATTATGCCATTTCTCCAGTCTCTTCATCTGACATGTTTCACCAGTCTTAACAAACGCTTTAGTTATCCAACTATAAATGTATGACTCTCTGAATCTACAATTCGCTGGCAATCACTATCATGTTTTTGAAATTTTGAATTACAGCCCATAGTCATTTTCATGAGAACTCACAGTAAACAGTGTCTTGTAAATGTTTCTTTTATTCTTCTGGTGACTTATATTTCAGTAAAGATGTCACAGATTTGATTGAAAATCTTTTTGGCTTCATCAGTTATCCATCACTGTCTCCCATTATTCAGTAGGTTAGGTTATTTGAATGTTGGGTGTTTTAGCTTTTCATTTTACCTCTCCATTAGTTCTCCATAACACATTTGTTCTCAGTTGTGCAACAGGCTGTAACAGTTGAGTCATTTTGGAGGGAAACTAAGGTCCAACATGTGCAGTTGCGAAGTTATTGTTTATTGTTACAGTGTAATGAAGAATCCCTCCAGAATTACCCCCAGATGTTAAGGAACCCCTCCCTGACTGAAAGTCTCTTGCCTTTGGTATATAGTTATTGCCATATTATACTAACACACACCTCCACTAAGGCCCAATAGTTCTTTTAAATTCAACCAAACTACATCTCTTTCCTTCAGATCCCTGAGTTACTGCCTAAGAGATCTATGAAAAAACACACTGTCTCAGAATGATGAAGAAAGTGATAAAACAATTCCCGGATCTGCCTCTTTGTCTGGATCCATGCCAAAATTCAATAGGTTCTCGTCCTTCCAGCCAGTTTCGTTTTCAGTTTTTACAAACAAACAAGGCCAGTGGTGAAAACAACCTCAAAGGCTGAGGTAATAGATGCACATCTGGGTCTTCCAGAGTAAGTTGTATTTGACCTTAAATCAACTGCCATACCTTTGATTACACACGTACAATCAACATATGAATGATTCCATGACCTACTACTGTCTGCTTCGGTGATGATTCAGATATGTGGGAGAAAAGGGTGAAAGAAAAGAAAGAAAGATGAACAGTAAAGATCTGTATTTTCTTTGTCAAAAACTCTTAATGAAACCCTCCGTGAATCAATGATTAAACCATGGTTAAGACTGTTCACAGACACTGCATGTATGCACATCTGTGTAGAATAACACCCTTTTCTATGCTTTGAGATTTAATAAAATGGGTCATATCCCTTTCTGTAATGATGTCTGATGTTTGACTCGCCCCTCACCTTCACCTAAGTTTGTCTTCCAGAGTCCACACTTAGTCATTTTCCACTGTCCGTGCTGTGTGATGTAACGTAATGTAAACTGGTGACGGCTCCGCACGTTGTGTAAGCTGATGAACTATGACACACAGGTAGCCAATTTGTGGCTTTCAGAAATGATCAGGAGCAACAAGGCATGGACAGCGTCTTCAGATCAGTACCTCACATTGTGCCTGTCTGTGAGATAGTACCATCATGGGTTACTTTCAGAAATCCCGGACAGTAAATTGTCGTTGTGTCACCAGGACCTTGAAGTGGCATGTTAATGTTATCGGTGTCATAAACTGGAGACAGCAACGCTCTCAAATCTTGAGTAACAAATCGTGAAGTCCTGAGTAAGCTGTGTCAGAAGGAGAAGGTTGTGTGTTGTTCCTGGGGTTGGATAAGATACAATCTGATCAAAGCAAGGATTGCTGGAGTCATTTCTGAATCTTGGCAATTGTCTGATATTCAGCCCATACAAGAGCTTTGGCGATCAATCTGGGTCGCCCTATGTATCATTAGCACATCCCAAACGGTTTATCTATCACTTTTAATGACTTGATATGAGCTGCGCCTGTAAAGCAGATCCAGTCAGTATGAACCGAAGAAAGCCTTGTCGGTATATTGTCACCATCTCAAGTCAAAACTACATATTGGAAAGTTCCATGTTGATATATACACTTATCATCAGCACTGAATAGAAGCTGCTAATGTAATGTTCAACCTTTGTCACATGCAATGCACCACATGTCCACCTCTCAAATGACAACATGCCTTTCAACCAATACAAACCTTTTTATGATTGAAATACACTTACAATTATTTCTATCGTGTAACACCCTATCCACTTTCCGTGCTCTTCATTATTATTATTATTGGAGGTGTCAATGTTTTGTTGAAACACATAAACACAACATATGTTTACAGCATTCATATTTCTTCCACTTTCCAACTTCAAAGCACATGAACGCACTGATGGGACCCTCCGAGGAGCAGGTGAATGCACATAAATGTTCTCATCAAATTCCCAGAAAGAAATCAAATCTATTCCTTTAATGTGCTGAATAGATCGGAGAAAGAAACTCAGCTTGGTGCAAATGGATACAGAAGTCAGTAATAAACGTGCCTCAGTGTTGAGCTGTAGCCTAAGTCTATTCCTTAAATGACTAACTCAAATCAACGAATGTTTAAGCCTCTCACACACAACTGTCCCTATCAGCAGCTCCAATCAATCATCTAATCTCACCATGAATTTACAGGGAGAGGCTGATCCTGGGATCCGGCAAACTTTGGCTCCAACAAACATGTGAACACGGGGGCCTCAGCAGAAGATGCTGACCAAACGTGAAAATTTGTTTTCTGGAAGTGCTTATTAAATTATCTGCACATAAAGAGGAAGAGATAGCTTCACTGTAAGCACTTATCTTTTTTCTTTTAGTGTGTAGACATTGGACTTAAACTAGTCAGTGTCCTTGTGACCTAGTGCTCAGTTCTATGAAGGTATGTTCTGCGGAAGTGTGAGCAGGAGCCTGATTCTCAACTAACTATGTTAGGTCACATTTCTACCCTCATAAAATAAAAAAATCACATGTGCATAGCACAATCAGTTGGTGTGTCTTATTATCCTTACTAATATAAGACAATCTGTATTTAAATTGCCTTATTGTCCAAATGTGCTATGGGCTTTTTAAAATTTCTATTGATTAAAATAGAATAATCCCTGTTGACTATAATTACAAAAAGAGATTATAAATGTGAAATGTTTCTATCAATGCCTACAGATTCAAAAAGGTTCTATTGTATTTATGAGCTGCTTTACTGATGAAAAGTGGATTGGTACCGTGTGTTATGTAAACCTCTAAATATGGTACAAGCTCCTGATATGACCATCATGACATGGCGATTATTTTAATGAGTGCATCAGTTGTAAAATACGAAAAAACATTGCAAAATTGCTTAAAATGCAACAAAATGATAAATTAGCTCCAAATGTATTCGCTAACATGTCTGAGGCCAAGCACCTGTCGATTGTGTTGTACAAAACCAGGTCACTCTTTGTGTTTAAGGCAGGCATGCAAGTCCAGATGATCCAGCTCAGCTCCCAGCCAGTCACTTTAACACCGGCTGCCTGAGCGAAAGTGGAGGAAATTAGCAGCTGACTCGACTGTGGTATGTGGACACACATCAGCAACCAAGCCCAAAACTGAGGCCGTGAAACCAGGGAACATAATCCACTGTTCACACACACACACACACACCCATACACTAGGCTGCACACACAGGTGATGTAAAGGCTTTCTTTATTCAAAAGTCTTCATGCAATACAAACAGTGCCAACACCCTCATATTGAGTGGAGTGCAACTATTATGTAAAAATAAATTTGATTCCATTTATGATTGAATGTTTTTGCCTATTGAACGATAACACTGGTGTGTGTGTGTGTGTGTGTGTGACAGATGATATGCAGTAATTGCTTATAACAGGTATATAAAACATGTAAAAAAAAAAACAAGTTTTCAGACAAACAGCACAACACAGTATACACAATGTTTTTTTTTTACATTTTACAATTGTATACTTGACATTTATTTACATTAGAATGTATGGCCATGTGTGATATTCCTGAATCAGTAGACTGGCCGTTCTGATGTGGCTCTGATGCCCAGCCTGAGTTTGAGGTTAGATTAAACCTGGGAGGGACATGAAAATGAACCTCTGTTCCTGGTGGGTCCTCGGCTCATGGCACACCTGACTCAGCACCACTGTCTTTAACCAGGTTTCATTAGAATAAACATTTAACAAGAAACCTTCTGTTTCCTGACACCTGCCTCTACCTCTGAGTCCAACCCAAATATTTAACCCCCGCCATTTCCCAGAAACTGTCTACTCTTTTAAATGGGTGGGATGTGGCTACTAATCCTTGACAATGCTAGCTTATAAGGCATCAGAAATTACTAAAGGTGGGAAGGAAGTTATAGATACATACATTAAAAAGAAGCTACTTTTCCAGTGTCAGTGATTTGAAACTGTTTTGGAGACACTCTTTCACAAGACAACGTCTGTTCAGTTAAATCACTTCACAGGAAAAGTAGCTTGCAAATAAGCCACTCTGCACTTTCTTGAGGTACTATTACATAGATGTTTTACACTGGTGCTACAAAGCCAAAGACGTCCACAGAAGACAGAGATTTGACTTTGGTAAAAATGTCTCCTTCATGCTTGGAGCAATAAGAGCGAAAACCCTGGCTGACTCCTAGAGGAAGGGGATTAAGTTGCGGTGTATTCAGACTATTCCACAGGGGCTGGTCCAGTTTTTCCTCATGAACTGTGTGGTGCTGAGTACTGCAATTTGTGCGTTTTAGAACCACCATTCCACCACAGCACCTGAACAAACTGAGAGGGCAGCTATAAGTGATTGAAATATGATTGTGCGGGGGTGGGGTGGTCAGGACTTTCAGCCTTGTGCAAAAACATTGATCAAATACCTGATCACGCATTGGGTGTAATGACAGATGTCAATCACTTAAAGTGCCTGTGTAACAACAATCATGATTAGAAAAGAAAATCACCACAGAGAAGTCATAAAACATAAAAATCATAAGGTGACAACATGGATCTATTCATTTAAAACTAGCAGAAAAACAAAATTTTAAGTACAATCTCAAAGTGGGTTAAAAATATTCGGGTATTCTTGGGTTATTGGAAGCATTAGTGAAGCTACACTACTGTCACCTGATGAAAATATATATATTTGGAATGCTTCAGACAGATAACTGGTTTCCCTCACTTCCTTTTATGCCTTGTGTGGACTTGACTTTGGTAAGTGAGATGACTATTGACAAGGGTGCATAGAATTTATCATTTGTCTCTTATGGCACAATCATGAGCCCACAACACAATACTGATGATACAATTCCTATAAAAAAAACCACCGTCTGCATTTCCTGAATAAATACAGTTAGTTGCATAACCCTTATAACCATGCATTAAAGAGACTGGATCCCAGTTTTGCGTTTGGTCAAATAAAAAAATGCACATGACCTGCTGTTCATACATGTATATGTAAGCTGACACGAGTAGGAGAAGGCTACCAGAGAACAGCTAGCAGATGTAGCTAAAGCACCAATGACATCACTGAAAGGCTAGTGTTGAAAACGAAGGATGCGGTCTGTTAGAATCTCAGACAGTCACCCCTGCACACCTTTATTCAAGCCTCAGTGCCTTCTTCCCTGCAACATCTCTCCCTCTTTTTGCCCTTTTGTTAGCTGAAGCACCATTTACAAATCTTAGATCGTAAACAGTGATCCTCGATCCAGGCAGTTAGGAGGAGAACATTTCTTCTGGTTTCTTTAAAAGACCAAAAATGGAGTCACAAGCCTTGGATACTCTTGTGAGCATGGACCGATAGAGGAAAGGCTGAGACTCTCCTCTAATTCTTAGACTTAAAATGTTAGAGACACCCTGCCTAACCTAAGATTCTTACTATGGATTGCTTTTCTAAACTGTAAGCTCTACTGACGTCCTCCTGCTATTGATTAATGCTTTATTATTTATTGCATGTTTATGGTTTATGTTAGTATTAGCATTCTGCCAGCTACAAGCTATGCTGTTAGTTTGATAAATACGATGCAGGGAGGGGAAAAGGCTGTGAACTATGTACCGAGGACAGAGTCTCTTTAATGGGGTTAGACGGTGGTAGGAAGTGAGGGGCTTTCTACTGTCTCCACTTTCTGCTCCGGCGAGAAGCAGAAGAAGAGGCGGGTACCCAGGCTCTTGAAGGCAAACCTAAAGTACATTGCATGACCCATGGCCACAAAAGAGACTGAGATGATGACCAGCAGGCCGAAGGCCTCGGGGTTCGGAGCCAGAATCACCATGATGAAGTGCAGCAGGTCTAAGAGGTAATTCATGGAGTTTTGGACGCCGTTGATCACACCTCGCTCCGACTCGATTACAGTCTCCTGGATGAGCTGGGTCACTGTCAGGTCAAAAGACCACAGGCCTGCAGCAGAGAGATCAACAGTCAGTCCTAATGGCATTTTTACAACGACATTAACATGACTTAGAACTCAACAGTAGCTGTAGCAGCAATTATCAGGACATATTATTGGCATCAAAGGTTGCAGATATTGCTCTGACAGATGCTTGGATCCATTGTAAAATTACAGTGACTTATGAAAATGTTCAACCTGTGGACCTGAAAGTACTTGCTTGAGTCAACTTTAGGAAGTCATAAGTGGGCCTTTTATAATCTTATGAAAGGAAGTGAACATTCCAAGAAAGCATGCACACTACGTATGCAAATGTTCTTTCTAATACAAAAAACAAACATCATTATAGACTTTGCACCATTTACTTCAGTGGCAATCTGATTTGCACTTTGGATCTCCTTTAAAGTAATAGTACAAAAAGAAAGTCAAGGGGAACTACATTACTCACCAACTCTAGCAGCAATGACGCCAGCAAACAGCAGACTGACAGATATGTAGGACTGCAGAGGTGGTAACTCTTCAGCTGGTGCAACCGTGGTATTTACACCCATGTGAACGCTGCTTAGGTCACCATTAGGCAGGGTCTTCTCTCCAATCAAGTGGGTGAAAATATCCTGGAAGGGTGAGACACTGAGGTCGAAGGGGCTCCCCGGAGTGAACACAGAGGCGACGCACATCATGAGGCATGACAGCTGAGCCATGCCTGAGATGAAGCCTGTGCGGATCAAGCCACATTTTTTGCGGACCCAAGTGAAGGCAACAGTGCCGCAGATACCGAACACAGCCGAAGCCCCCATCAGTAGACTGAGCACTGAGCCATTGAGGCCCTGCGTATAGGCATAGCCCGTAGTGATGCAGTCAAACCCCAGCACCGTCATGTAGAGGAAAGCCAGGGACATGCCGGCGAAAAAGATGTCCTGGTTGTAGTAGGCCACCCAGCCGAACTTTAAGGTGCGCAGGGGTTCCGATACTTGGTAGCAACAGCCCCGCTCCTTGGGAGAGTCAGGCTTGGCCACCACTGAGGCTTCATTCATAAGCGGCTGAGAAGATTCCTCAGGACTCTGGCCATTCTCTAAGTCTGCAACAGAGTAGAGGAATGGAGGGATTAAAACTAAAACCTCACAAGCCAGAAACTCTCCAAACGCTTAAAAACATATGCAGCTTATTACAAACATTTTTCATTTGACATAAATAGTGTAGTGTCCGTTCTCAACTTAACTGTTCTCTTGTCCTGTGTTAATATACTCCAGAGCAACTTCACATTATTCTGAGTCATTACTGAGTCCCCCTCAAACAGTTCTACAATATACTTTAACTTTTTATTTGTTTGTGTGCAGAGCTATTTATAAACAGTCTATGGTGCAGAGTGAAGTTATAAAACTTTGTGATCATCCTACCTGGTTTATCTGCAATGAAGACACTATAGTCAACGTTTTTTATAAATTGAAAAAACATTCATGTGTTATACAAGTTTGAAAGACTTATGTCAGCTATTTGAGAGGTCTGTTGAGCAACCAACACAATCTTCAGACCAAAGTTCCCTACTTTCAAGAAAAAAAAGCTCTGTAATTCTGTAGTAAGTATAAAGCATTGCAACAACAGAATCAACGTTGCACTTTTTACAAAGACAAATGGCCAAACAGGAAAAGATTCAGTGAATGTTGTCGCCATGACTGCCCCTGTCTCGGGTGATAATAAAATGTTTATTCATGATGAATGATAATGACTCTGTCCAAATCGCAGCAAACTCTGCACTGCAATTTCTCTGACAATTTACAATACACATGCCAAGTGAGAAGTTGATTAGATGAACAGTTCGTGAGATATGCATTCCACATACAGACAGACAGACAGATGTTTGTAGAATCCGTAGGTAAATATAAACACAAGGTTCTTGAAGCTATAGTACCTTTGTGGGGACTGAGCTGTTTAAGCTCCTGCTCCTCCCCTTTTTGTCCAGCTTTCACAGCCAACGCCGGTGTCTTCTGGTAGACCTTCCACAGCAGAGCATACTCCACACACATGGAGCACAGGTTCCAGCCAGAGATGAAGCCACAGCCCATGAAATGGGAGCCAAAAGCCATGATCTGGCCCACCAACATTGGAGCCAGGATGTTGGTCAACTGGTCAATAATCCGCACTGTGGCATTCATGTCTGTTTGATACAGGAGATGCAGCAATATATTAATGGATGAATGAGTAGAAATGTTTTTTAAGTGTCCCACAAATCTATCGTTTGTCCTGGAATGACAGTGCTAAAGGTCACCACGTTCATATGTGTTATGAATTTTCTCCAACATGTGATCAAATCTTTTAAATATCTTGCAGCAATCAGGGGAAACAGCAGGGACATAAAAGGTAAAGACGAGAGTGAGTCAGCATCGAGGATTCAAAGTCTGCCACACTGAGGATGTCTGATAACAGGTCACGTGCTGCATCCAATCAATACAGCAAGTAAGAAACACTGACCTGCCAAATTGCTGCTGTCCTGACCTGCCACGACCACAACCCAGTCCCTCTGTATGGTGATGGAGGTCGCTGTGCTGGCAAGGTTGGCGATGTTGGCAATGGTGATGACCAGAATGTAGCAAATAGTCTAAAAAAAACAAATTTGCACATTTATCCAGCATCAATATTAGGTCATTCAAAATCATAGCTTTAAACCCTGAAAAACAAATCGATCCTAATAACAAGCGCTGTGTGTGTTATTTCTCTGTGCCCTAGGACTCCATTGTTGCACTGTGGATTCAATAATGAACACACACAGACACACACACACACACACACACTGTCCTGCTGCCCCAAATACTAAGCTAATCCTTCATCGCAGGGTAACTGGCAGAAATGATAGAAATCAGTTCAGACAAAAGTCTTTTTTGTTGTCAGCTGAAAATTGTTCCTAAAAAATACACGATTTACGCCAATTTGAGTAACATTGGATAAAACTGCAGTGTCCAGCTGTTTGAGGAAACTCCAGTGGTTTTCAAAAATATATTTATTTTTTAGAATATTTATAGTATATATTATTTATTTTTAGCAAGTCTTCAGGTACAAATGGACTTTTGCTGGTTAAGTGCCACAAACAGGGAAGATGCAAAGTACTAAAAGATGAATTCACACATGGTCAGTTTTGATCTTTTGATGTCAGTTAAATATATAATTATAACAAGCTAGCCTTTAAATGCTGATACAGCATACACTGTAAGACACGTTGAGATTCATTCTTCTTGCCTCTTTTACCCGTTATATTGAAAGCACCTATTCGGTTGAAACCATTTATAATGGTAAAATCCACAAAACAATTGTAAAATGAGACTTGGCTTTTAAATTGTTATTATCACATGTCATCTTATGTGAACAAAATAAAAAAAATCAATAGTTTCCTGTGGAACAAATCTATAACATTCTGTGAATGTTGCTGCTTACAGATAAACAGTGTGACGGCTCTATAACACTCAACATGTGACCTCAGCTGCAGCCACAATAAGATAGAAATATTAAAATATGTACATTATTTTGTCTAGAAATGACCTATTTGTGAACACACTGGCCATTGATGTTGTTTGCTGAGCTGTATGTACACTGTAATGCAGCTGGACAGAACAGAAAACTTTTTTCAACAGGCCCGGCCGCATTCCTCTCTCTCTCTCGCGCTCTCCGCCTGTCATGTGACAGGCCTTGAAGGACCTGCTGACTACTCAGTCTTCAACGAGACACTTGATCTCCTGTTTCACCATACTTTCTCCACACACACGCGCACGCACACACACACACACACACACTCTCGACTCAAACGGTGAACCCCCCCACTTTTCTTTGGAAACTCAAAGGTGTCCCACAAATTCAGAGCGCATTTGGACACATTCCCCTCAACAGAGAGCCTTTGTTTCAACCTAACACACCAACTTTTCCGCCATAACGGACGGTAACCATTCTACTCTGGAACTCAGCCCCTCAGGCTCAGTTAGCAGCAGAATCTGATCCAAATCTTTGTGTTAAGAAACTGTGATTGCGCCACAGTGAGCTTTGTTTTGTAACTGCTGAATTATTACTTCAAGCTCACTAATTAACAACAACAACTAGTACTCAGCAGCACTCATTACTATATTACTACATGAGCTCTCATTATTATGAGTCAGACCCCACCTATCTTCAAACTGGGCCATCTTTTCCATCTCAGCTTCACAACTGTAAAGTTTCATGACCTCATTATGCACAGTTGTTTTAGGTCATTACATAAACAAACATTCACATCCTGGAGACTTACCCTAACAGTTAATACTTCTTACTTTTTAATATTTGTTTGGAATAACACTTAAAAGCTATTTATGTAGTTATAGCATATCATTTAATTCAATTAGCACTTAATCTATATTTCTTTAAATTCTAAACCCTTCTGTTTATTTATCAACTATTATCTACTGTTTAATATTTAAATCATCTTTAAGTTCATGTTAACATTCACCAGGTTTGTGTTGTTTTACAGTCAGGGGAGAGACCGTGGCAGCCCTGAGAAATTCAATAATTCCTCCACATGTGTTGATGGTCCTTTTAAACCATTCAGTATTTGTTTAAACAGGTTTTTTAATTAACCAATTCCTGTTTTTACAAAGAAATAAATTAGTATTTTCAAATAACCACGGCCCCTACGTGACAGTGCCCCTAGTAGCACTCATTTATAGCTTCTGAATTTAAACCCTGACCCTAACACTAACCATGACTTTCCAAACAATAACCCTGATTTAACTACTGACCTAAAAAGCAGATGATTGCAATAACGAGATAAAAAAGCTGAGTATAATGAAATAAGAAATCACACATATCTTGGAGGGAATGGAGGGAGAGATGAGCAGTCAAAGGTCAGAGTATGAGTCAATTACTCTGATTCTTCATGTGGCCATAAATCTTACTGACGTGGGAGCACATATCAATAAAAGTTAGCAAGTTTCAGGGGTCAGAGTTTTGTACTTGAGGAGAAGGGGTAAAAATGCTTTATGTGAAATTCCGCACAAGATCACATTGAAAGAGCAAAGTGTGTCCCGGGTGGTGTGGGGGTGGGGTTTTGGTTGGGGGGGTTCTCACCAGAATCCATCCGCTGTAGAGATTCATGAGCTGTTCTTTGAACTGGAAAACAACCATCAGGAGGATCCCACACAAGATGACGCAACTGTTCTGGACAAGCAGCGAGGTCTGGGCCACTGTGGAGACACCATGATGAGCATTAGGGACAGAGATGTGATCAGGGACAACAGATTTCTGTTTAGGAAAACTGTTCATTAGCGATTCCACAAGATAGTTGGATACATTCCCCAGCGCCCCTGATCTAATCTAATAGTGCTATTTCCTAATTCCTCTGAATGCACATTCCGCAAGATGTGCATCTATCTGTGAAAGAGACAGAGGAAAATTGCACATGTGCAAATTATAGGCAAAACTATAAAGACATCCACAAAGTTTCTCTCACTTATTTCATGATAAAGTCATGTGATTACAATCTATCAAAAAGCTTAAGGCTCGGCTTTTTTGGTATTTTTTTCTGCCTTACCTTTGAGTCTGGGATTTCTGTCTACCCAGTCTCCGATGATGGCTCCCAGCAGCAACACGGAGCCTGCCACCACCAGCCCGTACACGGCCGTGAGCAGCAGGCTGTTCCCATATAGCTCTACCAGGAAAACAGCCACGGCAAAGTTCCACATTCGGTCACCCTGGGAAATAAAATTCTGATTATTTTTTGTGCAGGCTTAATTGGAAAAATAATTTAACCCTGTTAAATGACCTAAAAAGATATCACCATCTTCACTTTAATCCATCTTGAGAGTCATTTGTAAACACCAGTACTGTGTGGTAAGCTACGAAGGGAAGACATATCATTTTGTACTGTAATGACAGTTATGTAACACATAACTTCTATTAGATAGTTTAGTTTGGTACATATAGATGTATATATGTATGTATGGGGGAAATTTATGAAAAAAATCGGGGGGGGGGGGTGTTTCTGAAATGTTTAAGTTAGTGAAAACAAATCATATATAGACTATAAACCCTGGAAGGTTTTTTATTACAGTTGTAAAAAAAAAGGCTGCATTTACAAGAACTAGGAAAATTTTAGCCTTCTGTGATATTTCACTTCCTTTAATAAATTGTCCTGTCATGTGGACATGTAGCAGCTGCGTTCATAAACATCAAAATAAAACAAAGCTAATTTAAATAGCCCTTGAGAAAGCGTGCAAAAACACTTATACATAAACTTCAATATTTAATAGTAAATAATCTCCAAATGAAATAGTACAACTTGTTGTCAACATAATAATAAAAAAATTAAGACTGCAGTATACATAGTGCGCCTACTTGTCAGACTAAAAGTACAGTGTGCTTTGATAATGGAGTTATTAATTGCCCAATGTCATTTGCGTTCATGTTACACAATGCGACAATATTTTCACAAAACACTTGGTATAATTCAATTAATTTTCATTGTTATAACAGATCTTACTCTTGACACTGAAGCTCTGAGACATGTGTCAAAAAAGGGAAACATTATCAGTGAAGCTTTGTACTAAGACCTGATCTGTTTTATCAGCATCACATGACCAGTGTGAGAGTCAGAAACATTCTCTCCTAACCTGTCCCCACACACGACCATTGTTTATTATAAAATACTCCCTTCTTACTCCCTCGCTCTTTGTCTAAGCACCAACACTGTCAAATACAAATGGTGTCATGTTTCTGTTTGAACTGCTTAACATTGTTGCTTTGCCTATTCTGACATACCATACATTGTTGGTCAAGTGTTTGTGTGTGTGTGTATGTGTATTTTTTTTGTTATGTTCTGACTTTTAGGAAAAATGTCAAAATGCACAGTGTTGGTACCTGTGTTGTTTATTAGTTACTTGAAGTATGCAAAGGAACTGATCATGCATTTAGATAGTTATTAATTAATTGATTACTTCCGCATCACTAGATAAAGGGGGTGAAGAGATTTGGTTCACCCAGGGTGCCATGTAAGCTAATACTTCCACTGTTGAGACTGAACAACCTCATATGTAGCCTGCCAGCAGAGACACTGTCCTCAGCTGGCACTTACACTAACAATAAATAAGATCATTTGTTAAGACTTTTTATTTTTTAAGCATTTTTGAGCTACACAATGTGCTTTAACAAGGAAGAATTTTCTATATATACATTCAATTACTTGTAGTCAAAGCTGTGGAGCTAAGAATAAACAAGGAGCGGCTTCAACGTGCACCTTATGGAATCAGGAATTGTACACAGATGTTGGACATACATTTGGCCCCCTGTGTAAATTGTGGCCCCTTTTAGAAAACCCCTCGGTGACCTGTCATCACAGTGAAAATATACACGCACATGCACGATGTGTTTCTGTGCTTCTCTGGTGAACTGTGGCAGCTTCAGTGTTTCACTCACCCATGTTGACAGAGCATGGCCCATGTAAATAAGGAATTTGGCAGAGGTGAAGAAGTCTCGCAGAGATTCTGTCGGAGAGAAAATGTTTAAATGTCAGGAACATTTTAAGAGGCTGAGCAACAGCTGGTGGTCTGCATCTGGGGGGGGGGGGGGGGGTCCCTGTGTCACGTGATTTTTGTTTACCCGCGTTCACACAGAGAGAGAGAGAGAGGGAGAGAGAGAGGGAGAGCGCACCAGGAGACTCCAGCTCAGACTGAAGGTCTGCTGCCCTCCACCTGATGTTCTGTTCAAACACTGACATCATGCACGGAGCTTCACATATCTCACACCGTCCACTGACAATGACAATCATCACATGAGAATAATAACAGACAGCTTCACCCGTTTCACAGTAGCGTCGACAGCATAGGATCGCCGCAGAAAGCCTATAGAACCTGTGCTGTGTTCACAGGCGCTGCACGGGGTCCCTCGCACATGAGCGTGGTGCCAATAGTAAGGTATTTGAGGAGAAGAACCTACCGCAACATGTCCTCTTGGCTGCAGGGTTATCCATGTTCAGCGTGTCCAGGTGACGGATGTAACCCGGTCAGTGTTGCAGCAGCTGCTCTTGCTGTTGTTTTTTCTCGTCTTCTTTGCGAAAAGGGAGCCGAGCGCCGAAGCTTATCGACTAAAACAAAGAGACAACACGAGCTCCCTTTCCCCCCCTCTCCAAACTTAGCTAACACTGTAGCTGAAGTCGGAAAGAAATAAACGTGTGGAGTCTACAGAGGGTCGGCGGGTGTGCACGACGCGGCGCGGCGCTCTGCTCTCTGTCCTCCGCGACTTCGTTCAGCCTCCAATATACCGCACACGGTGTCACGTGACCTGGATTATTTACATCCTTTCAGGAAAAAYAAAAAAAAAAAAGAAAAGAAGGACCGAGCCTCATCCACACACCAAACCGTGTCACTGTCTCCGATTTCACCAACACCCCGGGATTAGCGAGCTGCTGTTTCCATTGTACACTTGTTTACCTGCTTCTTCCTCTGTCTTGAGTAGAAACGGACGAGTTGCTCTCACGAGAAAACCCTGAACAAAGAAGTGCTCCTCGAAGATAACGCAACTATACATGACAGCAGACGAAATGAATGTACATGGCACATCAGAGCCTGGAGCCTTTTGTCACAGCTGTGTGTGTTTCAGTGGTTTCTTCACATCACATCATTATTACTAAAAAAATAATAGGAATATCAATTATTACTATGATTGTGATTGTTGTAATTGATGACGATAACAATACTTTTTAATAATACCTTTTAGCACATTTAATAACAGTCGTTACAATGTGCTTCACAAAGAGGACAAATAAAAACAAAGTCAGCTAATTATATTTTGCAAAATCCAAAGTCAAACACAGCAACACAATATTGACACTTACACAAGCTACAAAGACTCCAGTGTGAGTCCTGCAATCCAAACCAAAAATGCTACCTGAGAGTCTCATAGTGTTATTTATTGTATAAATTGAACATTTTATTGGTGCACTGATGAGTTAATAGCATGTTTCCATATTGTAGAAAAGGTGGAGCTAACTACATGAACCTTATACATTGTATGTGTGTTCCGGCTCATATCTTATGAGCTGAGGAGAGAAAAGAGGCTGTGGAGGTTGAAGATTAACTGAACTTGGCTCTGCACGTGATGACACACAAATAAACAATATTAAACATATTGAACATTTGGGGATGCCACTGTTGCCTTAAACCTGTTTATCTAGAAGCCTGTTGCAATCAGGCTTGGCAGTGACAGTGTTCAAATCAGATATTTGGATGACTTGCATTTGTACCCATGTCAACACAACAGAATCACAGCCATAATTACAGGCTGCATTGATGAGAGCTCCTTTGCCTGTGTCCATAAAAAGTAATAAACACAGGCTAAGTGAGCACATATACAATATGTTTCTCTCAATTTAACACTATACAGTGGACTATGAAAGGCTCTTATCAGCTGAGTGTGACCCTCACTACCTTGTACCAACACTTAAACCTGATGATGTGTGTTTCTGGATTTACACGAAAATGATGGTGTAATGAAAACTGCCAACATATACAGTACAGTATGCTTCATCTTGTTTCTGACTGGTTTTCTGATTATATCATTAAGATTTTGTTTTTGAAGGCTCTGGCTCTTATATCCCAGCAGTGGTCACTGCACCCACTCATACATTTTCTCTCTGCTGCCCCCCTGTTTGTTCAACCACATTGTACCATAGAGTCCCTCAAGCACCAAGAGGTGCACAAACCTCTCCAAAACTGAATCATATTGATGAGGGCTGAAGATCCTCTTCATTACTTCTGATTTTCACTTCAGTCATGTTTCTCCAATAAACTCCCACCTGTTTATGCAGCCCTGTTACAACATACAATAAGATATGAGCTCAACTCGCTATAGAATTCCCAGAAAATTCTACAAATGCATAAATCACCTACAACATGAAAACCTGTCACCTGTTTTAATGTTATTCATGGCAGATCTGTGTAATTCCCTCCACCAAGGAGGTTACGTTTTCCCCTCTCTCCATTTGTCTGTTGGCTTGTTTACACAAAAAGAACCTGTCAAATTATCATAAAACTTGATGGAAGGACTTTATATGTGTCAGGAAAGAACCAATTCAATTTTGGCGCAGAGCTGGATCAGGAATGATTTCTCAGGAAATAATTCATGGATGTGGCATATTTAGGGGACTGATATTTATGAGTGTGTGAAATTCTGTGTTGGGCCTTGGCGGAGGTATATGTTCTATTTTGTTTGCTCTTCTTTCTTCTCTTTCTTTCATAAATAATATTGAAGGGGTTGGTGTGCTATTAGTATATACTACTTGGAGATAGTATATTCTAAATTGATGAATTCAACACCATCTGGGTACTCCAAGGCTCCATAGGATCATATTTTTCATATGTTGACTTTCTTTCTTTCTGAGAGTTAAATGAAGAACTATTAATAAATTATAGATGAATACGAATATATTCTTTACATTAATTATAAGGGTACAGGCGAACAGTACAAAATTATCAAAATATGCACCATCGAAATTAACACATTCTTCTTCTACATCTTTAAAACATACCAAAAAAATGTCATCACCATGAGGTTGTCAATCAGAGGAGTTACTGCATCTGGCCAGAAATAGTCCAGGGAACAACCCTTACTAAAACCACAACATTGTTATTTCAGGTTTAGAAAATTACCACAAACTACTCACACATGCATAATGCACAGAGAGCAGGAGAAATTGTGGGCACTGGGGGGCCACCTCTCAGGGCTGGATTAACATCCCAGAATCCCCTGCTGTATTTAGCCTTACAATATTTCACCCTTTCTCAGCCTCCCCAGTGGCTGCTGTAAGGATATTTTGTTAACATATGTCAATGCTAACAAAATGACAAAGCACTGGTTTCTCCTTGTCCCAGAGCAACAAGAAGATCTTCTCTGTGTCATCTCTTCGCTTCAGGGAGCAACACTGACCCTATAAAGAAACATAAGCACATATTTTGAGCCAGGTGATGACACAGATCACCCCTTTGTGATCTATTCAAGGATCACAGAGAGCTCTCGGCAGTTTGGAAGTCTGCAAACATAGAGCTGGTGCAAACAGATTACTAGCCACACTATTAAAGGGCCAGTGTGTCAGGTAGGCTCAGGTAGGGCGCCTGTCATCAGTGGTTAGAAGGCTGCTGTGTCATTTTGCGGCCATATGAGCTGCAGATATGTCTGCCGCTGATGGACTCTCTCTCCAACCCGTCTCTGCAATAACAAGCTGTGTTTACGTGGGCTAAATTTGTACTTCCAGGACAAAAATATGAGAATGACACGCCTCCTGCACTCTTAGGTTGTGTGACACTCACAAGCCACAGTGAAATAAGGGATAGAGGTGAAGGCAGGATGTGGAATGTGACCTGGAGTGCAGTGTGCATGAGGCTGGATCAGATTATTTACCTATTTTTCACACTGGGCTTCTGTTTTTATTTGCCCTGACCCTTGGGCCGAGTTACACATGGGCTAAAAGTTGTTACAGAACAATTCCCAAATGGCTCAAGCAATTCAATGAAACTGGGCTTGAATGTTTGAGGCTAGGCCCTTGAACACCAGACACAATGATTATAATTATTACCATTACCCATTTTTGGAACATAGCAGTGTTGTGGTCTTATTGTGTCAGTGGATTTCCTCCGCTGCCTGCGACCTAAGACTTTGATGTGCGCCTGATGAGCAGCTCCTCTCTGTCCACCAAAGAACGACAAACATCAAAGGTCACACTGTCTGACTGTGACGACCTGGTCACCTTTCTCAAAATGACACATCTTGTTTTCAGGGAATGAATCGGTAAACACCTGACAGCTGTTTCAGATCAATACATTACAGCTAAGTGGGCAGCGAGCCAAGAGACTTCGGTCAGGTGTGTTTGTGTGTTGAACTGCAAGTTTGCATGGGGGCTTGACCAACCACTGGAGGTTTGGATTCTTTGGCAAGACCTGAAAAATTGCAACTATTGGATGATGACCTGATTTTTCCTCTGGCGCCACCTTGAGGTAAACTTTTGTGGTTTTTAGCAGAAATGTCTTGACAACCGATTGATGGATTGCCTCTGACTTTTCTTTATAGCTTCATCATCAGGTCAGAATATGTCAAGTACCTTCTATAAGTGGTGGAAAGGGGCAAATTCTATTTTATTTGAGTATTTCCATTTTCTTGCTACTCTATATTTGATACAAATTATACTATATTAATATGATAACAAAATTCAGAGGCAAATATTGCACTTCCTAATTTGATAACTTTGGTGAAGAGATACTTTGCAAATTCAGATTAATAATACAATAATACAGTAATACAGACTATAATGTTATATAAATAAGTACTGATGTATTATTATAGGCTGAAATAAGATAAGCCTCATCTTTTTACTTTAATGCATTGTCACTGTGTGCCTGTCAGAGTGCTTACAGAATATTATCATGTTGCTCAAAGCCTGGCGATGTGCTCACAGAAGCATGTGGTTTTGCTTCATCATTTCTGCATGGTGCACTCATATGACCTATAACGGAAAGAAAGACAAAACAATAAAACATGTGCAAGGAAGAGATCTCTGGAACTCTTTCCACATTTGTTCCTACACTTCCTTGTGATTCTCCTGCCACCACAGGAGGGTAAGTAAATATCATACCGTGTGATTATTTCCTTGTCATATCATCATCTGAGTCAATTTTCCAATTCTTCAAAGTGTAAACAACACGAGGACTAAACTCATGTGACTATGTTCAAGCTGTATTTTCTGGGCCTGTAACAAATGGAAGCATTGTCACTCAGTGGTTTAGGCTGTTGTTGTCCGCACTATGACATTGTATGTTTCCACCCCAGTGCAAAGCCACACAGGTGCTTGTGTGTGGAGATGAGTCTGAATTTGTTTGTGTCTTAGCTCTGTGATAATCACCTGTCCATGATGTACCTGGCCTCAAAACCAGAGAACTCCGGGAAAGCATTCCTCTACCATCATCCTGAACAGGATAAAGCAGGGCAAGCAAATGATTAATTTATGTTGTTCACTCGGACAGTTAAATAGAAGGAGAAAATAAGTGTGTGTGAATATAATTGGACAGATAAAATAACTGGGACCCTTGAGTCAATTTGACTAGATAACAGCTCTGTTTATTTTTTTTATTGTCTATTTTCCTATTGTCAAGGAAACTGTGACTTGATACATATTTTACATGTTTCATATTGTGTATGATGTGAAGTAACCAGTTCAAAGAATTTGAATGTTTTTGGCAGACCATACCATATGTCCCTGGTGTACCGGGATAAGATGTACCTTGCGACAGACTCCACTAAAACCAAAATAATAATGAATAATGACTTGCAGTGACCTAGACCTGTTATTTGCTACCTTCCATACACTATAATACTGACATGTTTCGATT